AAAAAGAACAAACAAGTAAGAGACCATATCCTTCTGGCCTTTCAGATTGATGACCAGATGGAAAAGATTACTGAAAATGCATCAAGGATGGAATTTAGAATGCAGGAGGTAGAGAACAAGATAGAAATTACACAGGATGAACAAATCATTTCACAATATAGGGAAATGGAACACGCATTGCGTATCAGAGGCCTGAGAGAGAATTCTCAGGAGGACTTAAAGATGCTTATTGTCAAAGATATTGCTCCTAATATTGGCTGGTGGCCTGAAATAATTGAGAAGGAGATAGAAAAATTTTTTAGAGTTAATTCACGGGTTGCTAGACAGAGAAATCTACCAAGAGATGTGGTTATTTATTTTTCCAGAAGATCTATCCGTAATGAAATTATACAGGCTTTTTACAAACAAAAGTTTCAAATTGCTGATCAAGATGTGATAATTTTGAAAGAGATACCTCCAAAAATTTTAAGAGCCAGAAAAGATTTTACTTTCTTGTCTGATGAGCTAAAACATCGTCAAATTCAGTTCAGATGAAGATTCCAAGAGGAATAATAGTAAATTATGAAGGGATACGTCATAGATTAACTACTGTTTCCAAAGCAAGAGATTTTTATCAGTCTATCTTAAAAGCAAGATTGTCACCACCTCCACAAATAAGGATGACGGAAGAGTCTCTTATGACAGGAGCCTCATCAATGATGGTTATGGAACAAGCTGCACAGAATTCTGACATAAAAGAGCAAAGGATGACACGAGCTGCCCATAAACATAAAGAAAAAGAGCAGTTGCAGAAGAGTGGTGAAAGTTTGGTTGCTACAGAGCCTGTGGGAGGGGCAAGACCAAAAAGATCTTCGACAGCAGATTTGCAGGCTATGCTCCAGAGGCTCCAGGCCGGTGGAGATGGTCAGGTTCCTGACCTGGAATGTTAATGGCTTAAATGTGCCACAGAAACGAAGAAAGATATTCCATTATTTGAAACAACATAATAATGATTTGATATGTTTGCAGGAGACTCATATAACTTTAAAGGATTCTAAATTCTTGATGAATTCCCGTCTGGGCTCACATTTTACTGCTCCAGCCCCTGGGAAAAAAAGGGGGAGTGGTAATTTATGTGAAGAAAACTTTTTCAGCTAAACTAATTGAGGCTGACTCTGAAGGAAGATATCTTTTTGTGGAATTATTATTACAAGGCCGGAAGGTTCTTATTGTTGGACTATATGCTCCCAATCAACAACAGAAACAATTTTATAAGTTGCTGCATGGCAAGATATCTCAGTTGGATTATAAATTGGTAATTTTGATGGGTGACTGGAATGGGGTTCTAGACCCAACCATAGACAAAAGAAGTTCCTCTAAAACTTTTATTCAAACTAAACTACCTATGACTTTCTTTGATTTGAAGGAAGAACTGGAGCTTATTGATATTTGGCGAGAAAGGAATACAAGTGACAGAGACTTTACTTTTTATTCTGATAGACACCAGTCATTTTCAAGTATTGATTTTTTTTTTGATTACTAGTGACTTCCTCCCTAGAGTGAGGAAGGTGAAAATTTTTCCCAGAACATTGTCACATCATAGTCCTGTGTGGATGGAGTTATATTCGGAAGATAGGAATAGAAGATCTTGGAGACTGAATGAGAACTTATTTAATCGGGAGGAGTTCGTACAAAAGTGTAAAGAACATTTAAAGGACTTTTTTATTATAAATATGAATAAGGGAACATTGATGTCTATGGTGTGGGACGCTAGTAAAGCATATATGAGGGGAATCCTGATTCAATTGAATAAAGTTTTTAGGGAAAAAGGGTTACAAAGACGTAGAGAAATAGAAGAAGAGATTAAATTAAAAGAACAAGAGTTGGTTCTTAACCCTACTGATAATAATTTAAAGGTATCCATAAAGATGCTTAAGGAACAATTTAACATGTTGATGGCAGATCAGGTGGCTACCAATCTGTCGTATATGAGACATAATACTTTTTGCAATGCGAATAAGCCTGGGAGGTGGTTGGCTTATCAGTTACGAAAGAAACAGAAAGCTAGAATCATAGAGAAAGTAAAATATAAAGGTACTGAGGTTTTTCAGCAAGATTTGATTAAAAAAAGCTTTTTGGACTTTTACACAAAATTATATTCAAGTGATAACATAAGGGGTTTGGATATAGATAAATATTTACAATCAGTACATTTTCGTAGACTTTCAGAGGAACAACAAAATGGGATGAATAGTTTAATTACTGTGGAGGAAATTGGTTTAGCTATTAAGCAGTTAAAGGTTGGAAAGTCTCCTGGAACAGATGGACTGACTTCTAGGTATTATAAGATCTTATCTGAAGAAATGATAGAGCCTTTAAAGGAACTTTTTAATAGTATTTTGTTGGGTGTGCAAGTTCCTCCTTCTTGGAAAAGAGCCTTTATATCACTGATTCCGAAGGAAGATCAGGATCTTACCGAGCCTAAGAATTATAGGCCAATTTCATTATTGAATGTTGATTATAAGATCTTTACAAAAATTTTGGCTAATAGACTAATGCAGGTTATGAAAGACTTGATTCATAGTGATCAAGCAGGATTCATAACAGGGAGATATATGAAACATAATGTTAGACAAATTATTAATTTAATTGAGTACTTGGATAAGAATAATCAGATTCCTGTGGCTTTTATCTTTTTGGACCCTGAAAAAGCTTTTGATCAATTGGACTGGCAATTTTTATTTTCTTTGGTAGAGAAAATGAATTTTGGGGATAATTTTTTACATGCACTTAAAGCTATATATCAGCAGCAATCTGCACAAATTGTTGTAAATGGGGGATTGACTGAGAATTTTAATATTCAAAAAGGGACAAGACAAGGATGTCCATTATCCCCATTGTTATTTGTTTTAACATTGGAAATTTTATTGATTCAGATTTGGGAATCAAAGTTAATTAAGGGTGTAAAGATAAGGAAGAATGAGTATAAATTGCGGGCATTTGCGGATGATTTGGTTTTAATTTTGGAACAGCCGAATCAAGCGATTGATGGTTTATTAGAACTTATAACACAGTATGGGAATGTTTCTGGTTTTAAAGTTAATAATTATAAGACTAAGATATTATCTAAGAATATGTCAGTTAAAGATAGGGAAAGTTTGATTAAAGCCACAGGTTTTCAGATGGTAAAAAAGGTTAAATATTTGGGAGTATATCTAACTGCTTCAAATGGAAAATTGTATAAGAACAATTATGAACCACTATGGGCAAAAGTCCAAAAGGATTTAAGAGATTGGAAAAAATTGCAATTGTCATTGTTGGGGAGAATTTCAGCTGTAAAAATGAATGTTCTACCAAAGTTTCTTTTTTTGTTTCAGATGATACCTATTCTTAAAAAAGAGGCAAATTTGGAGGAATGGCAAAAGGGTATCAATAATTTTATATGGGCCGGGAAGAAACCAAGGGTTAAATTTAAGATATTACAGGATGCTCGAGAAAGAGGGGGACTTAAGGCACCTAATTTGAAATTATATTATGATGCAGCCGCCCTAACTTGGTTAAGTGATTGGCTTAATTTAACAAATATGGATATTCTTTTTCTGGAAGGTTGGGATTTAATATATGGTTGGCATGCATATTTAATTTTTAATAAGAAAGTTGATCGGACTTTTAAATCACATATTTTGAGGAATGCCTTACTTCGTGTTTGGAAGAAGCATTATTATAGATTAAATTATAAAATACCTATCTGGGGGATTCCCAGACATGCAATTGAGGGAACTTCTAAGGGGACAAATTTTGACAAAATCTCGTATAAAGAATTGTTAATTTGCTCTGGTTCGAATTGGCATTTGAAATCCCTAGACGTATTAAGGCAGCAAAATATTCTACAGTCATGGTTTCAATATTTACAAATAATGGATAGATGGACTGTAGACAAGAAAGAGGGAATAACACTAGAAGATAGACAATTGGTCATTCAGATTAAAAACCAAAGTCCGGCTCATATAAAAAGAATATACAATGTTTTATTAGAGTTAGATTCGGAAACAGAATTGGTTAAAGACTGTATGATTAAATGGGCTCAGAATATACAGGAGCCGATCTCATTGGATTTATGGGAGACAATTTGGATAAGAAATGTTAAATTTACACAAGCTCAAAATTTGAGAGAAAATTTTTATAAAATGTTTTATAGATGGCATTTAGATCCTAAAAAATTATCTTGTATGTATTCCAATATACAGCCCAAATGTTGGAGATGTGGCAATAATGATGCGACATACTTTCATATTTGGTGGAATTGTAAAAAAGTAAAGGCTTTTTGGATTATGATTTGGTGGAACATTCAAAAGATTTTTAGAAAAAAGATAAAGTTTACACCTCAACTATTTTTACTTGGTATTTTTGTTGACTTAAATGAAAAAGAAACTACTTTGATGTTGAATTTATTAACTGCAGCAAGGTTATTAGTAGGTTTATATTGGAAGAAAGATTCCTTGCCTACTTTAGAAGAATGGATATTTAAAGTATCTACTTTTGCACAAATGGCAAAAATTTCTGCTTATTTAAAGGATCATACACAAGAAAGATATATTACTGTATGGGGAAGGTGGATAGATTATATTCAGAAAAAGTATGGAATTAAAAAGTTTCATTTATTTTATGAGTGAATATTAAATATTATAGAGAATTGTTTTATAGGTTATGGAATTAAAGGTTAATTATGATAATTTCTTTTTCTTCTTCTCTTTTTTTTCTTTTTTTCTTTTTTCTTAATTATTATAATTTTTTTTCTTATTATTAACCCTGTATTCTGCTCTGGGAAGTGAAGGGAGGGGGGTTGGGGGTGGGAGGGAGGGTAAGGGGGGGTTCTACTTTAAAATTTTATTGTATTTTTATAAATGATTGTATGTTTTAAAAAATAAAAAAAATTAATAAAAAAATTTTTTAAATGATGTCATTAGGAAGTTCTCAGTATGTCTATAATGGGCATTCATTTTTAAGTGTTTGCTTTCTAGGAAAAGCCTCTGAGAGGAGTCAGTTCCCAATGTTTGGTCGAGATGCTGGGCTCTCAGGCTGTCAGGTAGATCTGCCATTTAAAGAGTTGCTGTTAGTTTTTTTTCTCTTCGAAATTCTTAATACAATTTATACATACACATCTACACTTTTACAATACAGTAGTAATAGATTAACACATTATCTTTATATTTCAAGTCCCTTGAAGTTGTGGCAGAACAAAGCTTCCTGCATTATTTGTTAGATTTCTACCTTATCCTTCCTCTAGAAGCTCCAGACAGTGTACATGGCATTCCTGTTTTTTCTTACAAATATAATTTTCTGGGAGCAGATTGGGCTGAAAGAAAACAACCAGAATCTAAGTCTCCCTATTCTCAGGCAAACTACCTTTCCTCAACAGCTTTGATCTGCATTCAAGACAGAGGAACCAGAAATTCCAAATACTATGGTATATGTTTTTACTCAAAGATTATTAGGTTTCTTTTTACCCAACTTTCAAAGAAATAAAATGAAAAGGTATCAGCAAATGTCAGTATTTCACTATTTAGTTGCCATTGCATAATTTAGTCTATATTTTGTTCCAGACTGCAGCCTCTTCCATTTTTTTCCCTATAAAATAAAATCCCAAGATCAATCTCTTGAACAGGGATTGCATTGAGAGCTTGTCAGGAAACATGGAGGGAAGACTTCAAGCAACTCCAAGCAGCATGAAGAATGAAGGCATCTTGTGATAATCTGCATGGACTGAGCAGTAAAATCCTCTTCTCTGAGGAGAACTCAAACCATACTTGATGGAAGTGCAATTTTGTGTCCTCTTTGGAGAGGGTGGTGAAAGGCTTAATTGGAGAATTTTTGCTCTAGAGACCATTGGGAAAGATCAGAAATTCTTGAGCAGGGTGGGAGAAGCTCCTGAATAGGTACAGAAAAGTGAACCTTGTTTGGAAACCTAAGGAGGAAGCACATGATGCACCCAAGCCAGAGATCAGGAGGCCCCCAGTGCTGATTGAATTTAACCCTGGACTCAGGCTTCACCTTGGAAGAACGTCTTCAACCCTCTGACCATGCCCTATCACCACAGCCTCACAGAAGGCCTCAAAGCCTTGGAGATCAAATGGGCCTATAAGGAGTATCGGGTAGCTAGGCTGGAAAAAGCATTTGAAAGAAGTGCTTTGGAATGAAAAGCAGCATATGTGAAATACCTCCTTTTAACTTTTGAAGGGGGCACTTTTTTTCAAAGACTTGGTTGTAAGTTTAGAAAATGGGGTTGGCTGGAGGACTTCCATTGGTCTACACATATTACATTGAGCCAAACTTCATGGGGAGAGCAGGCACAATTAGAAGAGATCAAGAGGAAATGAGATCTTGATAATACCAAGCTTCTCTACTGCTATCAGTATTACTTATAGGAGGAGTGTATGCTGTCTCCATTGGATGTCCTCTGGATGGAATCGATCTTAATATTGCTTTTCTTTTATTTTTGCAAGGCAGTAAAATAAATATGATGAGTTAACTACATCTGTATTAATTTTAATTTTTAATTTGGCAAGCTGTAGTAATTCATATAAACTTGGTATTGTTTTTTTTTTTTCAAGAGTTGGTAGGAGTAGAAAAGAAACCTTATGTCTTTGAGTAAAATCCTTTTTAGCAATAGCAATTAGATTTATATACTGCTCCACACTGCTTTATAGCCCTCTCTAAGCGCTTTACAGAGTCAGCATATTGCCCCCAACAATCTGGGTCCTCATTTTACTGACCTCAGAAGGATGGAAGGCTAAATGAACCTTGAGCCAGTCAGGATCAAACTTCTGGCAGTGGGCAGAGTCAGCCGGTAATACTGCCTTCTAAACTTTGTGCCACCAGACCCTTATTGTTATGAAACTAAAAAGTTATCTAAAACTGGCTGTAATCAGAGCATATTAAACTAAAATATGCTTATTATTCTGTGAACTTAGCCATTATGAGTTAAAAAACATAGTTTACAGATTAGTGCCTTGTGTTAAACCTTTGTTTTCCAAAAAGTCTTCTGAGTTTTTATAAGGATTACTTCTTTGTCTTAATAAAATGGGCAAACTCTGCCAACCTACACAGCTGTTTCCATTGATGGTGATAATCATTTCCTGCCACTATATAAACAGAGTCAGGTATTGCTTGTTTTGTTTACAGACAAGCCTGCTTCGATCTGACATTGGTGTTGGAAGCTCAGGAAAAACTGGTACACCATATTATCCATTTTCCTCTGCAAATCCACGACGAAGGCCCCTTCATGATTCATCTTCCCTTGGTGAGTCAGTCATTTGTGCTCCTTTTCCCCCAGGGAACACATTAGATTACAGACCTCATTTCTTGGATAAGATGCGTTTCAGAAATCCTTGCATTAGAAATGGTAGCAAGAAAGAGGAAGAAGTTGCAGAAGGGAACTGTGCTTTAATAGCCTGCGGAGTAGAACTTGGTGATAATTGCTCCAACTTTCTCCCTTTGCCCCATCCCCACCCCAAATTCACACAGAATATTTTTAGCACTAGAGTGTGGGTGTAAAAGAGAGAGAGAGAGAGAGAGAGAGAGAGAGAGAGAGAGAGAGAGAGAGAGAGAGAGAGAGATAATAGTGTAAATTGCTTACTTCCTCATCAAATTATTTGATTTAATTATCAAATAATTCAGTGTTATTCTTTGAAGAAAAGAATTTGTTGTAATTTATACTGAGAAAGCACATTTTGAATGTCCTTCATATTACAAATTCAAGACAATTCTGATGATAGCTGTTGAAGGACTTCACCCAGTGGCTTTAAGTAGAGCAGTGGTTCTCAACCTTTTTAATGCCGTGACCCCCCCCCCCAACCGGTTGTAAGTCGAGGACTACTCAACCGGTCGTAAGTCGAGGACTACTCAACTGGTGCAGCACCGTTTGCAGAATGGGACGTTTGGCAGGCTCAGCAGGGCAGAGACAGCCTGGACAATTCCTATTGGCTTTTGAAAGCCAATAGAATTAGACTCTATTCAAGAGAGTCTATTCTATTGGCTTTCAAAAGCCAATAGAATAAAAGGGAGTAGCACAGCTAAGGAAACGGGGGGGGGGGAAATGGTGGACTGTGTTGTTTGACGACCCCCATGAAATGGTCATTTGACCCCAAATGGGGTCCCGACCCACAGGTTGAGAACCACTGAAGTAGAGGTTGAACTATATGCTCCTGATCTTCTGAGTTCCTTTTGCACTGTGTTGTATGACTTTACTTCAGTACTGCTACATTTTCCTGTTAATTAAAGCATTTTTTTTCTGTGCAGATTCTCTGCAGACAAAAAAAGTAAGGAAGGTGCCTCCTGGTTTGCCATCTTCTGTAAGTCTTAGAGGTTTTTAACCTTTTAATAAGAAGCACACACCTATATATCTAGCTATTGTTAACTTTCTTAGTCATAAAGATTCAAGCTTGTCAGCAAGGAAGGAGACAAATTAAAAAATAAAACTGCAGTGCAGTCCTGTGGCCCATTATGCAGAAGAAAAAAGTACGTATGTTACCTTAAATTTGGCCAGAGAAACCTGTGAATATAGGAGGGGGGGGGATGAGGTGGTAATACTGAGACAGAGTAGAGGACAGGTCCCTCACCTGTCCTCCCATGAAATCTGTTGGTTTTAGAGCTGGCAGCAGTGAGTTGTGGATGATTCAGTTGTACCTGTAGCTTCCTGTAATTAAAGGAGAAAGGAGTGCCCCAGGAACTATCCCTTGATACACATCTTTTGATGTTTAATTAGTCATTATGTTGCTGAACAGGAGGATAGAGATTAATAGTAAAGAATGGTAAAAGTTTACATTGCTAATGATCCCAATGGTATTGAAGATCTTAAGATGTGATTGGTAGGACCTGTACAGCTCAGCTGTCTTCAATAGGATGAAGTTATTAATATGCATAAATCACCAAGTCTGGTGCTTATTGTGAAGCCCTCGTGGCTTTTCAGCACCTTCATTAAGCCTTTTCTAACTTGAGCTGAGCATCAGAAAGGCTTTCAAACAGCAGCTTTGTTGATCCTTCTTACCCAATTGTTTTTTATCCTTTGAGAATAAAAGACTCTGAAAAAAGATTTGGAGGGGCTTGGTAGAAGAATCATTATCAACTGTGATAATCTTACACTTTGGGAGTTTGAAATATTAACCATGTTTCATTCAATAAAGTAAGAAAATTGTTAAATGAATCTGCATTTAAAATCCATATCAGATAAAAGTAGGGCCCTTCATCCCCCCTCCCTTTCAGAACACACAAGAACTCACTTCTTTGTTGTGCAAATGGAGGCTTTTATTCAGCAGCACATGGTGCAGGTGCACTTGGATGAGTTACAACTCAAGAGTTGTGCAGGGTGAATTGAATGCACTGCTGCTGCTCAGGGAGGAGTAAAACCAGTGGAGCCTCCACAGTGCCTGCTCAGAATGGAAACTGGAGCTCCAGCTTGCTTACATGCTCCTTCTGTTTTCCCTCATCAGCTGGTACTCTTCCTCTTCCTTCTCCCAGATGCAAGTTGTTGCAATTAACCTGGAAGCCAGGCTTAATGCTGGATGCTCTCAGAAAAGCTTCTTCTGCATTAGCACCTGGCATGACAAGCTTCCTAATAAACTCAGGAGCAGAGGGCCAAAACCATTATCTCTAAATATAAGAACCTTTCTCTCCTCTTCTGTTCCCAAGAGAAGTTTAAAGCTATTCAGAGTTACTTTTTATTATATTTTTAACCACTATGTTTGAATGAGACACACCATGTAGTAACTTGGAAAAGAAAGTCTAGATAGTTAACACCTGAACTAATAGTCATGCACACAAAGACAGATGACTCTTTCTGCCATTCTTTAAAAGACTTTAAAAGCTGCATTGCAAGTAGTCCAGGAGTTACTAATGTAATGGAGCCTGCCAATTACATCCTTAACCCGAGGATTCGTTGGAGTGAATCGCATAAAATGAATGTGAAAACTCCCTGCTTTCGGCCACACATTCACTAATCAAATGTACAAGTTGTTAAGTGCACATGAGGTATCTCAGGCTGGGGAAGGCCATGGGGGACTTAGTGATGGAACAGGCGAGTAGAGTAGAGCTGGGAGGTCTTCTAGTCCAGCCCCCTGCTGAAGCAGGAGAACCCATTTCAGACAAGAGTCTATTCTTAAAAATCACCAGTGATGGAGCGCCCATGATTTCTGAAGACAAGCTGTTCCACTAATTAATTGTTCTCACTGAAGTTTCTCCTTAATTCCAGGTTGCTTCTCTCTTTGATCAGTTTCCAACCATTGTTTCTTGTCCTGCCTTCTGCTACTTTGGAGAATAACTTGACCCCCTCTTCTTTGTGGCAGTACTTAAATACTGAATACCGCTATCGTGTCACCCCTATTTCTTCTTTTCTTTAGACTAGCCAAACCCAATTCCTGCAGCCATTCGTCATATGTTTTAGTCTCCAGGCCTTTGATCATCTTAGTTGGTTTTCTCCAGTCTCAACATCTTATTTTGCAATGTCTCTGCGGTTGTTCATAAGGGTGAACGACTGCTGTGGTGCTGCAGTATTCGTAATGTTGGAATTGTGTTGGGGGGGTTATTGCATAATTTTGAATGGTCACTGTGAACTGTCATACCTCGGGGGTTACCTATACTAGCTCTGATTTAGTCTAGGTTAAAGCAAATTCTTTTGTTAAATTATACTTTGGTTTTGGATATTGAATAGTTATGGCCATCTCTCCATCAACAGATAATGCTAAGCTATTGCATATCAATTTCTGAACCACTTAGGCTCATATGAAACTAAAGCATAAGCATAGTTAAACCACAGTTTTAAGTTTTCAGATTCCATTCTCCAGAGCCCTGGGGAAATAATCCCCACCTCTTTATGAAATGTTGACTTTGAATGTCTTGGTTGGACCAAGGACTCTTCTCTGGGATTTGGAAAAGGACAGGTAGAGGCAGGTGGGCAGCTGGGGCTCTGTTCCAGGGTGTTCTGCCCAACTATCTGTTGGAAAGGGTTTCACCCAGTGCTGGAAGGCTGTGTGTTCTCTTTTCCGCTGAGTGAGTCTATGTTTGAAAGAACATGGGAGACTTTGAATAAAAAGCCAAAACTGGCCATGCTTGTTTTGTTGCCATATATTCTAGGCAGGGTTTCTTGATAAAATGCAAGCTCTGCATAATGCAGAGTGAATCTGACATATTAAAAGAGAAGGGGAAATAAGCTGCATATATATCTTAGAAAGTATTTGCCATTCACATTCGCAGTGCTAGTCCTAGGATCACAGTGAGGCTGAATTGGTTAAGAGAAATGGTGTTCTCACTTCTCAGTACTTTGTCAGATGCTGGCTTGTGCCTGCACTAACAGATAAATATGAATGTGTCTCTTTTCCCTTATTTGGAGAAACACTAACTGTTAAGAATTAGGCCTAGGGCATGGAGCTAATAGGGATGACAGAGAGGTTCTTAAAGATTTGGCTTGATTGCTTTCTTTTCATATTGTACAGATGTTCTTATTCTGTTATAAGTGGTGGTGCTAAAATATAAGAGTAATTATTTGTTTTCTTGGTTTTGCAGCAATATGTCCTTATTCCTGGAGAAGTATAGTGTATACTTCTAAGACATATAAATGATAATACAATAAAATATGGGACATTTAATCAGTTTCTTGAATCACTTTCTGTGCTGCTCTATTAAAGATGACTTAAAATCCTAAGAAGCATTTGCATTAATGATGCTATTGCTTTTGAGATCTTCGGTTAAGCAATTGTATTTGTGGCTCTCTACATTGCATACTGTAAAACTCCATGCAGTGCATGTTTCTAAAGGAGAATCCAGGTGGGTGGGGGCCAAGGAGCAGATTGAGTTGGACTTTCTGATCTGTGCAGGTATCCAACATCCCTGCCAGATGACTGTCCGACTTCTGCTTGAAACCCCGAAGAAAGATAACCCTGCTTTCTTGGCAGGATCAGTTCTGCTGCCAGATGATTTAGTTGTTAGGATCTCTTTTAAATGTTCATTTGGGTATTGCTGTATGCCAAGGGCCCTTGTGAAAGAAGTTAGAAATAGAATGGGCCAAGGGCAATTTGCTTTTATTTGTTCATGCCCATTTTCATTAGGCATTAAAATATTCTCACAACAGAATAGGGTTAGATTATACAGCCATCTATGGGAATCAATCAAAACTGCATCTGTGTATGATAGGCTGAGTTGTAATTTAATCTGAATTGCTGAAATACTTGTTAAAGGAATCGAGTTGGATTGCCTAAATTGTTGAAACCAATCAATTATAGAACTCCTTTGAAATAAGGACTGGCTGGAAGTTATGAACTTGATTAGCTGAGGGTCTCTTCACATCCACTTTCCCTTTTTAACCATTGCCCTCTACTGGGGAGCAATACATTTGTGGGATAGAATATAATTGCTAGTACGCATTGGAATAGATCTGTGGGCTCCTTTGGGGAGCATGTATATACTCTGCATGGGTTCCAACATGTATGAACCAGTCATTTTTAGCTCTTCTCAGGAGAGAGTAGACAAAAAACTTACACTGGTCTCAAGGACTCTTAATGTATTTATTTCCCACAAACTTTCCTTTCTTAACCTGTAGAAAGGAATATTAAACACTATACCACTGTGTATCTTTCATCTTCAAAGTTTAATTTTGGAAAGTTCATGTTTCAAGTAAAAAATAAAATCATTGGTTAAATTTAAAAAAGCTTTCTGGTAACTTCTAGAATTTTACAGTGACAGCTGCCTATAAATGAAATAAAGTATTAAGCTCTGAATATCCAGTTAGAGATGACTGAAAAAACCTGACTTTATTAGTAGTAAATAGAACAGAGTTTAAAAGAATTTACAAATATAAAAATACTTGATTAGTTTAAATCTAAAAAATCAATATGTTTCCTGTTAAATCTAAAAAATCAATATGTTTCCCATCTGCCTGTGATGCAGCCTTAGGCAAAGAGACTACTAGATTGGGAAAAGTTGAAGAAGCAGCTTCAGAGGGAGCTGAGGGAGAGGTGCAGCCCATCAGTCTCTTGTCTCATTTTATTAAAACAAAAGGATTAGCTGGCTCAGGGAGTTCAAAACAAAGAAAAAAACGGGGGGGGGGGGGATTAGCAGGAATCTAATGTCCTTTTAAGTGAAGTTCAGATTTTTACATTTCTAACCAAATGGATTCCTTGTTGTGTTGTCATGATAAAACCACCCTGGGGTAAATCTGAAAGACCCTTTCAGAGGAGCCTAGCTGTCTTAATATGTACCCACCCCATTTGGCTGTCTGAGATGGTTCAGTCCTGCTTTGCATACATTATTTGTTCCAAAGTACATCCATATGTGCTTCCTTCACCCCCGAAGAGCTGCTATA